AAAGCAAGTTGCTGATGGATAATCTTGGCTACTTGATTATGCCTATGCAAATATTCACTGTTAGCCAAACGACCACAACCAGAAATAATATGTCTAATGGATTCACCAGGACTATGACATGCCCGACATATGTCAACCGTCCCATCCTTAATTATATATTTCCGGTAGTTATTCGTAAGGATAACTTCGTCCATAATTGCACAGACAAATCCTTCAGTTTCTCCAAAGAGATTACTGAATCGTAGCCAAGACACGGACGCTAGAAAATCTACACTGGGCCCATGAAGGGCCCGGAAGAAGCGTCCGTGGAGCTCCTTGCTATGCCATACCGCCTTGCGATCATTGACGCTCAGTACCACAGGTTTGCGCCAGTTCTCTTTTGCCAAGGATAGCGGAGTGAATCCATTGTCCACCGCTGCTACTTCTCGATGCATACCCTCGTTGAATTTAATAATAATAATATTTTTTATTTTAACAGTCACGCGGGGTACTCGTACTGCGGCGCGTGCGCAGCGTTCGCCTACAGACAAGTTAGCCCCGTTGTTGTGTGAGTATTCTGAGTACGTGAAGACCTATTTCTCTAATTAATGTAGTGTTGTTGTGGTATGTTTATACATACATATATTATAATAACTATCGTGAGACATACTAAATTAATGAAAAATCGCGGGTTACTCACGTGAATATACTGAGAAAAGCTCTACTACTTTCGAACCACAGAGGGGTTCTTCCTCATGAGCAGCGCAGTAGTAACCCGCAATTATTAGTTAATTGGGTGTGATATGTACATACATGAAATTCTTTGTTTATAAACGCACCCACGACGCAGGAGAAATCACTATAGGTTAATAATAAAAAGATAAATTTTGATTACAGCAAGCGCATCTTCATCCTGGGTCCCTCCCACCACGTGAGGCTCGGAGGCTGCGCCCTCTCGTCTCTGGATAAGTATCAAACTCCACTCTACGATCTCACCATTGATAAACAAAGTAGGTTTTACCTTTTTCTTATAATATCTTCTGATTTATTTCATTACGCCTCGTTGGCCGAGTGGTCACAAGTGTGACTGCCGGGCAAGGGGTCTCGGGTTCGATTCCCGGGTCGGGCAAAGTATTACTGATTTTTTTTAAAGTCTCAGTAGTAGCACGGAGTCTGGAATTGTGCCCGGTATATGGCAGGCAGTGAACAGTGGGTGTTACATTGTACAGTGGCATAATGCGCACCTCTGCCTATCCCTTCGGAGATAAAAGGCGTGATGTTATGTATGTATTTTATTTTGTTACGGGAACCAAGACAGTTCTTTATTCATGTCCCTGAGACGTTGGACTTCAGTGTTCCAGTGTTTTCATGGTTGTATCTACTGTAGATCCTGGTGCACTGGAGTTGCAGCGTTCCCGTTCCGAACATCGAAGGGACTACTAATCCAATCTAAATTTTCAAGTTCCTATCCCCTCCAAAAGGCCGACAAAACATTTGTAATGAGTATAAATAAAAAGAAAAATAGGGCGACAAACGAGCAGACAGATCACCTGATGGTAAGCAATCGGCGTCGCCCATGGACACCTGGAACACCAGAGGCGTTACAAGTGCGTTACCGGCCTTTTGGTTGTTAGGAATTTGAGGAATTTCGAGGATTCAGGGATTGGGAAAGGAGGTAATTGGGCCTCCGGTAACCTCACTCACACGACGAAACACAACGCAAGCGTTGTTTCACGTCGGTTTGCTGCTCGGCCGTGGTATCAGTCCGGTCGAGCCGGCCCAGCAGTGCCGAAGCATGGCTTTCCCACACTTGACTTCAAAGGTGGTACAAGAATAATATTATTTGATTGTTTGTCCTCAGTTTACGCGGAACTAGAAGCGACCCGTCAGTTTGAATGGATGGACGTGCAGACGGACGAAGACGAACATTCGATCGAGATGCATCTGCCGTACATAGCTAAAGTTATGGAAGAGTAAGTACATGTATATTAATAATTTCGTCAAGGGGTACGGTAGACTCGATCGAAACATTACCTGAATAACAAAAACATAAAAAATATCGATTTCGAGTCGACAACTTATATCCGCATAATTCGGATTACGGAGATTATTTCCTTTTAGTAATTCATTTTAATGACACTGACAGACCCACCGCAGTCGCCATCTTGAGTAGACAATAAACGTTCTGTTTCATACTAGCTCTCAAATACGCCTACTCAATACGCCCTAATCAACACGTTATCGCGTCAAAAAAGTATAAATTAACAACAAATATGAATAATTTCACGCGAACAAAGTCGCGGGTCACCGCTAGTACAATAATATTATTATAGATTCGTAAAATATGCGTTGTGTACGGTCAACATCAACAAAATAACAGGAATAATATAGCACTATTTTCACATCTTTGAACTGATTTAACTCGGTTTGGACTGTGTTTTTGATATAAGTCCCCATATATTTTTTTGTTTGTAATGTTATTCTGCATCAGTTTTTCCACATCCGATCAACTGCCGCGAAAAAATGAAAAGCACCACGCTCCATACAAATTTGGTCATTGTCATTAATTGTTGTAATATCAACCAAAAAACTTAATAATACTTTGACCGACAAGGGTTACGAATAGTGTCCGACCGAAATTTCGGTTTCGGTTTCGGTTTCTCCTTGAAGCACCCCAAGTTATCGACTGAGAGAAAATAGCTAATAAAAATTAGCGATATGGATATATTGTGGTGTGATATGGTGTTTCTGTGCCCGGCGTACAGTGGCGGGCAATTTGAAGTTAGGAATTGTGACAAAAATATGAATAATTTGAGTAAAAAAGCCAAAGTAAAATGTTTGACTCCAGCTCCTTTCACCGCTCATAACTCAGTCCAGACTGAGATTTCCATATATGAGCCCATAGACAATTCCGTTTGTAATGACATTCTAGATATTATTTTCCATAAATCATCGACTGCCGCCAGAAAAAAGAAAGGCACCAATTTTAGTCAATGCCCTTTGAGTGACATTTGAGTATTTCGACAATAATAATATTCATCATCAATTATGGAGTTTCTTACTCGTTCTATGCAGTTTCTTGCTCGTTCTTCTCCATTCGAATCTACATTTTGGAATGAGCATCCAGAGCAAAATAACTTGGAAAAAGTCACATTAGTACTTGCCGTTGGTAGGTTTCGAACTGGTGAAAAGTCGGTGCTACTTCCATACTCCCTTTAGGGATTAAAAGACATAAATTATAATTTTAATGTTTTTTAATAATTTCAGATACCAGACAGGATTTACAATCATACCTATCCTAGTTGGCTCTTTGACCCCCGAAAAGGAAGCGAAATACGGGGCGATTTTGGCCCCCTACCTGGCAGACCCCCAAAACCTGTTTGTGATCTCTTCAGATTTCTGCCATTGGGGGTCTAGGTTTAGGTATACGTGGAAAGATAATTCTAGGGGTCATATCTACCAGAGCATTGAGTGGTTGGACAAACAGGTATGTGAAAATATCCATACTAAATATAATATATAGAGTATATTTGTCATGGTATTATTTTCAAAAATTCTCATATGTTTACCCACCTAGGTATCAATTAGAGCGCTTGCTATTTTTTATGGCATAAGCCGGTAAACGAGCAGACGGATCACCTGATGGTAAGCAATCGGCGTCGCCCATGGACACCTGGAACACCAGAGGCGTTACAAGTGCGTTACCGGCCTTTTGGGGATTAGGAGTTTGAGGATCGTTGGGGATTCAGGAATTAGGGAGATTGGGGAAGGGGAGGGTAATTGGGCCTCCGGTAACCTCACCCACACGACGAAACACAACGCAAGCGTTGCTTCACGTCGGTTTCCTGCTCGGCCGTGGTATCACTCCGGTCGAGCCGGCTCATTCGTGCTGAAGCATGGCTCTCCCACACTCGCAATTATCATATGTTTACCCACCTAGGTATGAATTAGATCGCGTGCCTGGTAAATTGTATACCATTTTGAACTAATATTATTAATTTTAACAAGCTCATTAGAAATTGTGTTAAACTATCTCGTTGGCCGAGTGTTCGCAAGTGCTACTGCCGGACACGGGGTCTCGGGTTCGACTCCCGGGTTGGGCAAAGTATTACTGGGTCTTTTAAAACATTCTCAGTAGTAGCACGGAGTCTGGCATTGTGCCCGGTATATGCCAATAGCCTCACCCTCTATTACATGGGACCCATAACATAAATAGTGAAAAGTGGGTGTTACTTCTGTGTGCACCTCTGCCCACCCCTTCGGGGATAAAACGAGTGATGTTATTTTATAAAATATCTATGCTAAATATAATAATATATAGAGTAAATTTGTCATGGTATTACTGGTTTTTTTTTAATTTCCAGTAGAAGCAAGGAGTCTGGAATTGGGTAGTTTCCAGGGTATCAAAATTAAAAATCGAATTAGTCCGTCAGTATTAGATATAATGAAAAGATATTAGACACGTATTTTTTTATGTTCTCGTATTAAGTTGCAATACTTAGATAAGATGGCGCTAAGTTTAAAAGTGGGAGGTCGTTACGTCATAACGTGCTACAAAATGTGGCACGCTGTGACGTCACACGATATTTCAAATTAATATAATTATCTTCGAAAGTATTGAATTTTGTGGGAAAAGTAAGTCAAGTCCTATGGCGGGAGGGAGTGTCAGACTCTTACTGACTAAAAACCACCCCGTTCCTTCTCCTGCACGTCGAGCCGGAGCCCCGGTTACCCGTTAGGTTCTCCGCGACAAGCGTAGTCTAAGACGGCCCTGCACAGGCTTCCTATGATTCCATCACTCCACATCGCGAGGTTGGAAGCAACCTGCAGACAGCGACTGTCTCCTATGTACGTATGTGACGTTGACTAATGGCTACTGTTGACTCTCCAGGGTATGGACATTATTGAGAAGATGGATCCGCGCGTATTCACCGACTACCTCAACAAGTACGGGAACACGATATGCGGTAGACACCCCATTGGCGTGCTTCTACAGGTAATTTAACAATTTATTTATTTATTATTGCCTCGTTGGCCGAATGGTCGCAAGTGCGACTGCCGGGTCGTAAGGGGTCTCTGGTTGGGCATAGTATTAGTGAGTTTTAAAAAAAAATCTCAGTAGTAGCACGAAGTCTGGAATTGTGCCCGGTATATGGCAATAGGCTCACCCCCTATTACATGGGACTCATAACATTAATAGTGAAAAATGTGTGTTGCATTGTGCAGTGGCATTAAATGCATTACTGTGCACCGCTGCCTACCCCATCGGGATAAAAAGTACCCAGTGTCATACCTAGGATATTAAAGTATAATCATACCAAGTTTCATCGTAATCGGACCGGTAGTTTTTGCGTAATGCGCGAACATACAGACAGATATACAGAAAGACAAATTTTTTAATCACTTTTTCGAGTTCTGTTTCTGTCTAGTAATACCCCTTTTTTAAATTTTCAGCGTATTGAATTAACACTTCTGCAATTTTATTATATGTATAGATTATTGTAGTTTGTTTTTCTTTTTCAATCTCTATGGCTGGATTTAGGTGTTGCATTGTTCTCACACAATCGAACCAATAAAACTATGTAAGAATTGTATTGTGAACCTGATTGAAAAAGAGTAACCTATGGAGTTTCTTGCTCGTTCTTCTCCATAGGAATCTACACTTTGGAATGAGCAACTAGCTTCACTTCTAAATTTTCGTTGTTGACGTTCAAAAGTGCCATCCTGGTCTAATTGAAATAAATGATTTTGACTCTGACTTTGACTTTGTGTATACTAATAATATAAAGAAGAAAGACGTGTACCTATTTTTGTATGTTTGTAATGAATAGGTTCAAAAAGTACTGGGCCGATTTAAAAAATTCTTTCACCAATAGAATGTTACATTCTTCCAATTTGACATAGGCTACATTCCATTTAGAAAAAAATTAGGGATCCTTGGTAAAATTTGAACAATGTAACCGAAGGTGTAGAAAAAAAATTAGTCTTAAAATGTCTTTCGTCGAATGCGCTGCCGAAACTATTAGCGATGGAACAAAATAATGTACAACAATATTGAAGAACATCATAATGTCTACAAAAAACTCCGCAGTAGCATATGTCCAACTATTGTAGTTATGTCACTACAACAATCCAAATTTCCAAAAATAAACTGCTAGTTATTTATAAATTGTAACACCAATATTGTTTTTTTTACAGGCCATAGCCAAGTTACGCAGTTCGTCTAATTCGCCTCGGATGTCAATGAAATTCTTAAAATACGCTCAATCCTCCCAGTGTATGAACTCGCAAGATTCTTCCGTCTCCTACGCCAGCGCTTCCTTGGTTATTGAGTAGGACATTTAAAGAAATTGAGGCAAGTTTTTCTAATTGATATTTTTAGAATGTATTTTTAGCATACCGTGAAATCTATTTCGTTTTCGTTCCGAAGCAAAATGGTTCTGTCTCGGTAATACAATAGTTTTACAAAGAAATGAAATGTTTAAAACTAAAAATAACTGGTGAACCATTGCAAACAACAAACTTCGAAAGCGCATACGAACTCATTACAGTACATTATCAAAACATCACGCCATGTGATTCTCGAAGAGGTATTTCTCGTCGGGTGACACGTGCGATGCGAATAGTGCCTACAAGTTTACGTCTAGTGTTTCATGTGCGTATTTCCATGAAAATTTCTTCATCTTTATTGTTTTGTTTTTACTTTATTTATCGAAAGTACTCCTTATGGCAAGTTGTTTTGCCGCGGGACGGAAACGAAATAGATTTCACGGTGTATATAGGTAACCTAGGTATCAATTAGAACGCTTGTCTGAACTGAAATTGTATAGCATTTTGAAATAATATTATTAATTTTGACAATCTCATAAGAAATTTTGTTAAACTCTATTGATAATGAAATGCATATACTTATTTAAAATATATATAATGCTGAAGAGTTTGTCTGTTCGAACGCTCTAATCTCCGAAACTACTGGCTCGGATTGAATAATCTTTTTTATGTTGGACAGTTCAATTTTCGAGTGATGTTATGTAAAACTGATATCGGGTTCGAACCCTAGGCCGAGGAAATAGGTGAATATCAATAATCTCGAAATTTCGTTGGTGTTGTCATAATTGATAATATAATTATTTCTATTGCACTTTAGTTATTATTACGTAAACATATAATTATTATGTGTGTCCTTACAATACGGTAGTTTCTTAAATTTTATTTTAATGTCCGTCTGGTATATTGATTTAAAACTTTAGACACGTATTTTTTCTTCTCACAAAATTAAATACTTTCGACGATATATTATTTTGAAATATCGTGTGACGTCACAGCGTGCCACATTTTGTAGCACGTTATGACCTAACGACCTCCCACTCCTAAACTTAGCGCCATTTTATCTAAGTATTGCAACTTAACTCGTCGAGTACCGTCTTTTTAGACACAATTATAGAACAATAGGTTGCGGTCACCGGTGACCGCTTGGTGTTTGACAGTTTAATACGAGAAAATAAAAAAATACGTGTCTAATATTTTTTCATTATCTAACTGATGGACTAATTAGATTTTTAATTTTGATACCCTGGAAACTACCCAATTCACGGGACCACAGGGTCCCGGTCATTTGGGAGGCGTACGAGGGCCCGAAGCCAACTGCGCACAGGCCCTATAGACAACTTTAATCTAAATGTAATGGACACACAAATTATTATTATTATAATTATAGAACTTTTATTATTTTAAGATCTTTATATATAATAAGTTGCAACTTTATAATACTAATTTCTTATTCTTTTGTAAGTTTTAATTATAGCATGATTATATTGAAAATTGACAAAAAATAACACAATAAATAGCGTAGAAATCTCTGGCACTTTACTCGGTTCGATACCTGAGGCCTTAGTACGAGTTTCATTTACGTTTGAAGCATTCAAAACGAGTACGCGTTCGGCGCTCTGATTGGTTGGTTCATTGGCGCCGGCCAATCAGAGTGCCGAACGCGTACTCGTTACGAATGCTTCAAACGTAAAACAAATTCGTACTAAGGTCTCTGTTTAAAGCTAAGTAGCGAGTTTAACTGCCTCGTTGGCCGAATGGTCGCAAGTGCGACTGCCGGGCAAGGGGTCTCGGGTTCGATTCCCGGGTCGGGCAAAGTATTACTGGGTTTTTCAAAATTCTCAGTAGTAGTACGGAGTCTGGAATTGGACCCGGTACATGGCAATAGGCTCATCCCCATGGGACTCATAACATAAATAGTGAAAAGTGGGTGTTACATTGTACAGTGTCATTAAGTGCCGTAATGTACACCTCTGCCTACCCCTTCGGGGATAAAAGGCGTGATGTTATGTTATGTTAGCGAGTTCAAAATTGTCTGTAGTTGCGCAGTATACGATATGAATTTAATACTTTTTGATCAACAATGAAATAATATACTTGATATCTAATAGCCGTAATTTTATTGCAAGTACTAGCTTCTGCGACTTTACGCGCAATCCCGTTTTTTCCCGTTCCTGTAGAAATTTCGGGATTTTCTTGGACACCTATTACGTCTCCTGGTTCTAAGCTACCTCTCCGCCAATTTTCAACCAAATCGATTAAGCCGTTCTTGAGTAATATATAGTATAAGTAACACGACTTTCTGTCGTCTATATACAGTGAAACCTGGTTAAGTGAGACATCAAGGGACCTGCAATGCCGTTTCACTTATAGAGGTATTCCACTTACCAAGTGTCTCAGATATACAGGCATAAATAAATATCTGTCTCATTTACAGAGGGTTCCATTAATAGAGGTGGACTTGGAATTACGTGTGGAATTTGTGGGTAGAATAAGAATGAGTAAACAAACAATGTTATCTCAGTTACAGAGGTTTATGTATATAAAATTTACTTATAGAGGTAACTATCCTCGATGATAAATCGAAAGAACAAATCCCAGATATAGAGGTTTACCTCGTCCCACTAACAGAGGTAATTCAGTGCCAAAGTGTTGGGACCTCAGCATGAGTTCCAGTTATGGAGGTTTCTCACTTATCCAGGTCCCACTTAACCAAGTTTCACTGTATATAAAAATGAGTCCCTTTCTCCCTTGGTGACGGCGTCACGCGTGAGTGGCTGGCCCGATGTCATTAATTCTTTTTTTGTTGTGTTTGTTATTGTCAGGGGAAGATTCTTATGATAGAAGAAAAATACGGGAACGGGGCAAAACGGGATTGCGCGTACGAAGTCGCTAGTATATTATAGATTTCAACGGCTTTATTACAAAATGTTGCTTCAAATTTACGCTAAAATGTATCTTTAACTAGCTACTGTCAGCGGCTTGGCTCGCGTTCCCGTGCCATAGAAAGTAGCCTATACCAGACCACAAGCTACCACTGTTCTAAATTTTATTCGCTTTTAAACCTAAAGCTGCAATATCATGTAAAATAATTAATTTTGTTTATTATAATAATTATCAATATGTAGAGTATACATATTATATACAAGGTGTTGTTTTAAAGTCGTGTCATTTTCTAGGAGGTAATTCGGCTATAGATTCTGAGTCCAAATCAATAAAAAAATTGTAGGTAAATATTGTTCATTTTTCCGTAAATTACGCGGCTCAACACACACAAACTCAAACACGTAATTGATATTATTCCTATTTCCATAAAACTCCAATAAGGAACATTGCTGTCGCTTATTCTGAAATACTGTCGAACTTAAACGATTTATTATAGCCGTATTTTTAACTATTGCCAGAAATTTTCTCTTACATTGAACCTTTATGACTTCTGTGACATGCCCCCGAGAAATGACACGGCTTCAAAACTACACCTTGTATAATATAGAAGACTTGTAAGCTATATGAAAAAAACTTCAATTAAATTTTTATTAAAATATCAATTTTAGTAAGATTCTAGACTCTACATATAGCACGGAGTCTGAAATTGTTCCCTATATATGGTTACCATAATAAAAAGCTACATTCAAGAGACAATATTGACGGCCTCGTTGGCCGAGTGGTCGCAAGTGCGACTGCCGGGCAAAGGGTCTCGGGCTCGATTCCCGGGTCGGGCAATACTGGGGTTTTAAAAAAAAATTCTCAGTAGTAGCACGGAGTTTGGAATTGTGCCCGGTATATGGCAATAGACTCACCCCCTATTACATGGGACTCATAACATAAATAGTGAAGTGGGTGTTACATTGTACAGTGGCATAATGTGCACCTCTGCCTACCCCTTCGAGGATAAATGGCGAGATGTTATGTTATGTTATGAAGTGAAAATAACGTGGCAACATTTGTACCTACTGTTGGGCAACAGGCCTGTTTCTTAGACATAATAGGCACGACGTGACACTGAAATAAAATGTACACAATTATTTACATTTGTTTAAAAGAACGTTGACCGACTACTATTTTCTACTGTGCCGTGTGTGCGTTTACAAAAGGGTAGCTATGCCTAATTTTTATTTTAATGCCCATCTGGTAGATTATTTTAAATCATTACACACGTATTTTTTATTTTCTTACAGAAACGAATACTTTCGACGATATATTGATTTGAAATGTCGCGTGACGTCACTTCTATGTACATTTTATACGTAGAAATGACGTTTTAGCCCCCACTCCTAAACTTTGATTCGTTTTATCTAAGTATTGTTTTATTATACGACAATAAAAAAATACGTGTCTAATATTTTTTCATTACCTAACTTACGGACTAATTAGATTTTTAATTTGCATACCCTGTCATCGTCCCAAATACCTATATATTTTCACATACATATGACACACAGACCCGGAACAACAATTAGTGTATTACAAAATAGTCGCTTCATGCCTCCACGTGGGGTTCAAACACGTTGCCCAGCCTCCGCACCAACATGACTGATGAAAAATTTGTCTATCATAATTGTCATATTGATATTTTAATAAAAATTCGAAATCAAAAAAATCTTGGTTGTTATTTTTATAAAAAAATACTATGTAGTGTTCACTATAATAATATAAGTATAATATGTTATTGAAATAAGGTAAAATATATCCATTTTGGTCATCAATCAACAGCCTTTAAGTGCCCACTGCTGACTAAAGCCCTCTTCTCACACGGAGAAGGTTTGAGCATTAATAACCACGCTTGCTCAATGCGGGTTGGCGATTACAAACTTATAATTAGAAATTGTAAGCCCAGGTTTCCTCACGATGTTTTCCTTCAGCTTTTGTCAGTGGTGTCTAGATAATCTTAGAAAGTACATATAGCTTGGAAAGACACATTGGTGCTCGCCATCGCTTGCCAACTTATCGCAGAGAGTGCACGTCGCTTCCAACCTCGCGATGTGTAGCCTACGAGGGAGGACTGTGGGAGGCAGTGGACAGTACGTAGCTGATTGCATAATAAATCATAATGTAGCTAAAATCAAAGTGGATATATGAATTAACAACTTATATATAAGCTCAAAATTATAG